AAATCAGGGAAAAAAAGAGGGTTGTATAAAGAGCCTGTAGGACAACTTCAAGCATACCAACATTCACGTCAAAGAGGTGGCAGAACAGAGAGCAAGGAATTGAAAACCAATGTACAAAAATAATGACAGAAAACCGCCAAGAAGCACAGAGAGTCATAAACAAGATGAACCCAAAGAGGCCTATACCAAGACACATCATAATTAAAATGCAAAACATTAAAGACAACGAGAATCTTAAAAGGAGCAAAAGAAGAGCAAGGGAGCTCCTATAAGACTGTCAGCTGATTTCTCAAAAGAAACTTTGCAGGCCAGAAGGGATTGGCACAAAATATTCAAAGTGATAAAAAGCAAGGCCCTATAACCAAGATTATACTACCATTTAGAATCGAAGGACAGATAAAGAACTTCCCAGACAAGAAAAAGTTAAAGGAGTTCATCATCACCAAACGAGTATTACAAGAAATGTTAAAGGCTCTTCTTAAAAAAGAAGAGGAATTTAAAAAAAGGATAAAAAATATGAATAATCAAATGGCAATAAATGTACATCTATCAATTATTTTTTCAATCCTCACCCAAGGATATGTTTATTGATCTTAGAAAGAGAGGAAGGAGAAGGAAGAAGGAGAGGGAAAGACATTCAGTGTGAGAGAGAAACATCTGTTGCCTCCTGTATACACCCCAACCAGGGATTGAACCTGAAACCTAGGTATGTGCCTGGTTGGGAATTGAACCCACAACCTTTCTGATGTACAGGACAATCTTCCAACCAACTGAGCCACCCAGGAAGGGCAACAATTACTTTAAAATGCAAATTAATTATGTGCTTCAGTCAAAAGACATATGGCTCAATGGATAAGAAAACAAGACTCTTACATATGCTGTCAAAGACTTACTTGAAATTGAAAGACTGAAACTAAAGAGGTGGAAAAAAATATTTCATGAGAATGGAAACAAACAAACAAAAAGCTGGGATAGCAATACTTACCCCAGACAAAATAGATCTAAAAAACAAATTAAATAAACTAGAAAACAGAAACAGACTCATAGATACAAAGAACAGTTTGATGCCTGCAAGGGGTGGGGAGGGATTGAGAAGATGAATGAAAAAGGTGAAGAGATTAAGAAGCACAAATTGGTAGTTACAAAATAGTCAAAGAGATGTAGGGTACCACATAGGGAATATACTCAATAATATTCTACTAACTATGTATGGTGTCAAATGGGTACTAGATTTATCAGGTGATCATTTAATAAGTTATATGTCTGATCACTGGTTGTATAGCTGAAACTAATACAATACTGTATTGTCAATTTTAGTTGAAAAATTTAAAAAAAGATTTAAAGTTAAAAAAAGAAAAATATAAACACCTGGTATATAATTGTAAATGTTTAAATGCACTTACAATGAAAGAAATACAGATTTAAAAAATGAAAGAGCATTTTTGTCTCACTTGAATGGATCAAACCCAGAAGATACCTACTTTGGTGAAAATGTGACGAAATAGGTAAAACTATTGTGTTGTAAATAATTGTCACAGTATATCTTGAAGGCAAGTTGGCAATATGTGTATAGCACAACACACAGGTTCTGGGGCCATTACATTGCAAAATGAAATTGATAACTGGATAATACATTGCAAAATGAAATTGATAACTGGATTTTGCCTTGTACCTAGCTGTTTGAACTCAGGAAGTTACTGAGAAACTCTAAACTTCGGTTTTCTTATAAGTAAAAAGATTTACTGAAAAGTAAATAGAGGGACTTCCAGTCAAGATGGAGGTGTGGGTAGACACACTTTGTTTCCTCACACAACCAAAAGAAAGACAACAAATTTAAAAACAAAAAATAAACAGAACTGCCAGAAAATCGAAATCTGACCCCAAGGAGATAAAGAAGAAACATTCACCCAGACTGGTAGGAGGGGCAGAGACGGGCACCTGGGGTGGAGAGGACTGCGGCAAGGTGGTGGCTAGAGGACCAGGCAGGCGAGGTGGCAGCTGGAGGACCAGGCAGTCCCACATTTACATGCAAATAAACTGGTAGGAATAGCTGGGGAGTGAGACAGGCTGTGCAATACAGGGTTCCAGTGCTGGAAAAGAAAGTCTCAAAACCTTTGGCTATAAAAACCTGTGGGGGTTGCGGCAGTAGGAGAAACTCCCAGCCTCACAGGAGGGTCTGTTGGAGAGACCCACAGGGTCCTAGAACACACACAAACCTACCCACCTGGGAATTAGCACTAGAAGGACCCAATTTGCCTGTGGGTAGCAGGGGAAGCGACTAAAAGCCAGTGAGAGCTGAGCAAACAGTATTGTTCCATCTCAGACTCCTCCCCAACACACAGCACCACAATGCAGTGACCTGGGTTGCCCCATCCTGGCCAACACCTAAGGCTCTGCCTCTCCCAATGCAATAGGTGCACTGAGACAAAGAAATATGGATCAAGTGAAAGAAGAGATCAAAGCTTCAAAAACAGAACTAGGTGATAAAGTGATAGCCAACCTATCAGATGCACAATTCAAAACATGGATAACCTGGATACTCACAGAATTGGTTGAGTACGGTCACAAAATGGAAGAAAAAGTGAAGGCTATGAAAAGTGAAATGAAGAAAAATATACAGGGAACCAACAGTAAAGGGAAAGAAACCAGGACTCAAATCAACAATTTGGAGCAGAAGGAAGAGATAAACATTCAATCAAACAAAATGAAGACACAAGAACTCAAAAAAAATGAGGAGAGGCTTAGGAACCTCTGGGACAACTTTAAACGTTCCAACATCCAAATCATAGGGGTGCCAGAAGGAGCAGAGGAAGAGCAAGAAATTGAAAACTTATTTGAAAAATAACAAAAGAAAACCTCCCCAATCTGGCAAAGGAAATACACACACAAGTCTAGGAATCTCAATAGTGTCCCAAAGAAGGTGGACCCAAGGAAGCACACACCAAGGCACATCATAATTACATTACCCAAGATGAAAGATAAGGAGAAAATCTTAAAAGCAGCAAGAGAAAAGGAGACAGTTACCTACAAAGGAGTTCCCCTAAGACTATCAGCTGATTTCTCAAAAGAAACCTTGCAGGCAAGAAAGGGCTGGAAAGAAGTATTTAAAGTCATGAAAGGCAAGGACCTACATCCAAGATTACTCTGTCCAGCAAAGCTATCATTTAGAATGGAAGGGCAGATAAAGCGCTTCCCAGATAAGGTCAAGTTAAGAGGAGTTCGTCATCACCAAGCCTTTATGATATGAAATGCTAAAGGGATGTATCTAAGAAAAAGATAAAAAACTATGAACAGTAAAATGACAACAAACTCACAACTATCAACAACTGAACCTAAGAAAACAAAAACAAAAACAAAAACAAAGCAAACAACTAGAACAGAAACAGAATCATAGAAATGGAGATCAGAGGGGAAGAGGAGGGGGAAGAATGAGGTAAAAGGTACAGGGAATAAGGAGCCTGATTGGTACGTACAAAATATTCAGGGGGAATCTAAGAATAGTATAGGAAATGGAGAAGCCAGAGAACTTATATGTATGACCCACAGACACAACCTTGGGAGGAGGGCCAGTGCGGGGAAGAATGCTGGGGGGAGGGGTAGTGCAGGGTGGAGGGGAATAAAAGATAGAAAAAAATGGGGCAACTGTAATAGCATAATCAATAAAATATATATTAAGAAAAGTGAATCAACATGGTATTTAGCATAAATATTGTAGCATGTTAAAATTAATGTTAAGTAGTTCAAACAGCTACTTAAGTCTCTTTATTGTGAAACAAAATATTTCTAAGAATATTTTACATAAAACTCATTAAATTTTCTCAAAAATGTAGATACAATTTATTAATTCATTCAACAACTATCTGTCTATGTATTAGGCACATACTCTAGTCATGGGGGATATGAGTGAGAGAACTCATCTTCCTATTATTTGTAAGGGAGACAGATAGTGAATCTGATAATACATTGCAATGTGAGCTTTCGAAATACATGGATAATGACTTTTCTAATGGGGGGACATTTGGGCAGACCTGAAAAGTGACGAGACAAATAATGAAGTGTGTGGAAAGAGAGCTCCAGGAGTGAGACCAGCAAAGGCTTAGCTGCAGGAACATATGAGGGACTTTTAAGACAGTGACAGTGACCAGGGTGGCAAATGAGGGGAAATCACCAGGAAGGGTGGTAGAAGGTGAGGTATGAGAGGTAACCTGGACCAGGCTCTGTGAGGCTTGAAGACCAAGATAAGCATATGGAGTTTATTCTGTTTCATGGGGAGCAGCGGAAGGATAATAACATCACATTTTACTTTTAGGTGGTTTTACTCTAGCTGTGTTTGGAAAAAATCAGACTGAAAAGAGTCAAGAGTGAAAGCAGGAAAACACTTTGAGGCAGTTGTAATAGTCTGAGAGATGACGGTGGTTTGGAATAGAGGGCATCTGAAGCAGAGGGGGTAAGAAGTTGTCAGATTCAGGACATATTCAAAGATAGAGGTAATCGGGATTGCACTTCTAAGAACTTAATTCAAGGATTTAATTGTAGCTATTCAAAAAGATTTACATACAAAAGATTACAAAAAATAGGGTGCGGATAACTGAATACAAGTTGATTAGTTAATAAACTATGGAACAGCCATAAGCTAGAAAAGATGAAGTCATTTAGAAATGATGATGTTGAATATATAATGATTCGAAAAAATGTTCATAATATGTTAAGTGAAAATAATAGGTTACAAAACAAAGTATCCAAATGTCCAAATAAAATTTATAGAAAAAAGTTGAAGATTATACACAAGCATGTTAGCAAATTTTCTCTCTGGCTTGTGGAGTCACACATTTTTAACTTTTTTCTTTGAGCTTTTATATTTTCCAAATTTTCTATAATAACCATGTATTACTTTGATGAGAAAAAATAATTTTTGAAGTATAGTATTGAAAAGAACATTTTCAACAGATAAGATTACTAAAGAATAAGTATTTGAATACATTAACATGTTTGTTACTTACCATCACTTTTCGCAAAGTGTATCTTTTGGATCGAATGTCATCCATCAGCATTTCATAAGGAGTGAGCTGATATTCAATGGGCAACGGGTTGTACTGCCGCTCTTGGACCTTTTTAAGTTTTACTCCATTCCTCAAATCCCTCATCACCTGTACCCAGAATCGAGCCTGAAAGTACCAATGGTAGAGAGACATCAATGAATGAATTTATTAGTTTCCTATAAATGCCTACAGCCATACAGAAAAAATGAAGATCTTGGATTATAAAACAATGAGGAAATAAAACAAAAACAATTTTAAAACTTAAATTTTAGGATATTACAAAGTGGGTCAAAGGCCAGTACGCAATCCACAAACTATGACTAGTTAAACACCTGGGTATAAATCCTAACTAATCCACAGTGGTAGGCATTAATGGTTCTTCAAGCCTCCTTGTGTCTAAACTGTTATGTAGCTTTGCTCACTAAAGAGGAAGACTGTACTTCTCACACTGTGACTTTGGGTTTGGCTATATGATTTGTGTGGCTACTGGAATAGTAATGAATATGATGTGACAAAAGGCTTCAAAATCAAATGCACAATGGGTTGTCATTTGTACTTTTATTATCACCATGGGGACATCATGTCTGGATTGGATGATGCCCAATGGCATGATCACCCAGGAGAAGAATGAGACACACATAGAGTGGAGTTAGCACAGCTGATCTGCAAACTCATGAGCTAAATATATGTTATTGCCTAATGCCACAATGATTTTGTAGTGTTTAATTATAAAGCATTACAGTGACTATGGCAAACTGATATAACCACCAACTAGCTATCTGACATCCAGCAAGCTGCTTCAGCTTTCTGAACCATGGTTTCCTCATCAATAAAAGAAAATGGCACTTCATAATTTGTTTAGAAGAACAGAGATGGTCCCCTCACAGAAAATGTGTTCTGTATACAGAAAAGCCTCAAAATTGACAATTTTTATGTTACCTTTGAACAAATTATTTAATATCAGTTTTCTTATCTACAAATAGCAAGTATACCCTTCAAGAAAATAAGGTATATATGAAGTACTTATAACACATATTTAATATGTATATTATTACATGTTAGACCTTTTGTTTTCCTTCTTATAAGCTACGGTGTCAGTCTCTACTTCATTGAAAAGTAAATCAATATGATACTTAAGTGACATATTGGAGTTTAAAAAAATTAACAACTGGCTCAAATAGCTACTTCAATATATTAAAAATCAATATATTAAGTCACTCAAATAGCTGGTTAAATACATTAAAAATCAAGAATTGTGTATATAAAATAGCTGATTAAATTTCTCAAAAATGTCCTCATAAGCAATTCATTATTAAAAAAGAAAGTTTACCATTTGTTATTGAAAAAGATTTTGAGCACTTAACATTAACATTTATCAATACAGGGGTGTCCAGCCTTTTGGCATCTCTGGGTCACATTGGAAGAAGAAGAGTTGTCTTGGGCCACATATTAAATACATCAACACTAACAAAGCAAAAAAGATCTCATAATGTTTTAAGTAAATTTATGATTTTGTGTTGGACCGCACTCATAGCCATCTTGGGCTGCCTGTGGCCTGAGGGCAGGACACCCCTGCTTAGACCGTCTTCTAAGACGATCCTTTTTAAAATAGATTCTTACCTTCTGCCATTAAAGTTATTCTAATATATCCCTAAAATACTTAGGTTTCTCTAAGTTTTGGGAATGCTCTTGTGCCAACTTCTCTACTTTTCTTCCATGTTCCTTTAAGATCCAGCTTAAGTACAATCTCATCTTTTAAAAATTGTTGTCTCTTCTCTTGACTTCAAGCTTTAAGAAAACCTGACATATAAAATTTGGAATTCCCAAAATAGATAAAATAGGGAATGATCACTCACATAACTCACATAAAATTTATGAAACGATTAAAACAGACTTGTTTTATGTAGCCAACTCTTTATGTATGATTGTTTGGCAAAATTGTGCATGACTTTTAAGAAATTAAAGTCATGATTGTTATATAAAATAATGCATATCTGTCACTGTGTATTACCAGAGATTTTACCATTTATCCCTTATTCCACTAGGGATATTCTGAGATGTTTCAATCCAGTCATTTAAGAAATTCTGATTCTCCTTCATTCTATTCCTCATTTCATTGTAATCTTTCTAGGTAATTCATTTTAACGGTCCTATGAGAAAGAAGCTGGTGATTGAGGCAAATACAACTTCCGTTGAAGTCAGTGCATCTCTTGTTAGTGGTCATGCTACTTTTTAAATGAGGCTGCCGTAAGGCAACAAATTAAATTTTTAGTTCAAGTTTATACTAGCCACTTACTAACTTCCGAACACCTGAGTTATTTATCTGGCTTTAATATCCAGGAAAACAAATTTTAAAATTTAATAGCCAAGAAGAAATACACTAGAGCAATACTACTAGAATTCTCCTATACAAGGAAACTATATAATCAATATTATTCTAAATGACAAATAATATTAGCTTATAAGACAATATAAGCTATTGGTTTTTTAACCCTATTTTCTTTTTTAAATATATATTTTATTGGTTATACTATTATACTTGTCCCAATTTTTCCTCTTTTGTCCCCCTCCACCTGGTACCCTCATTCCCTCCAGCAATCCCGTCCCTCTTAGTTCATGCCCATAGGTCATGCATTTAAGTTATTTGGCTACTCTATTTCCTGTACTGTTCTTAACATCCCCCTGTCTACTTTGTACCTAACAATTTGTACTTCTTAATCCCTGCATGATTTCCCCCTTTCTTCCCTTTCCCCCTTCCAGTTGATAACCCTCCAAATGACTTCCATATGTATGATTCTGTTTCTGTTCTGCTTGTTTGCTTAGCTTTTTTAAATTCAATTGTTGATTGTTGGGAATTTATTGACATTTTATGTTCATAGTTTTGATCTTTTTCTTAAATAAGTCCCTTTAATATCTCCTATAATAAGGGCTTGGTGATGATGAATTTCTTTAACTTGACCTTATCTGGGAAGCGCTTTATCTGCCCTTCCATTCTAAATGATAGCTTTGCTGGACAGAGTAATCTTGGATGTAGGTCCTTGCCTTTCATGACTTTAAATACTTCTTTCCAGCCCTTTCTTGCCTGCAAGGTTTCTTTTGAGAAATCAGCTGATAGTCTTAGGGGAACTCCTTTGTAGGTAACTGTCTCCTTTTCTCTTGCTGCTTTTAAGATTTTCTCCTTATCTTTCATCTTGGGTAATGTAATTATGATGTGCCTTGGTGTGTGCTTCCTTGGGTCCACCTTCTTTGGGACACTATTGAGATTCCTAGACTTGTGTGTGTATTTCCTTTGCCAGATTGGGGAGGTTTTCTTTTGTTATTTTTCAAATAAGTTTTCAATTTCTTGCTCTTCCTCTGCTCCTTCTGGCACCCCTATGATTTGGATGTTGGAACGTTTAAAGTTGTCCCAGAGGTTCCTAAGGCTCTCCTCATTTTTCTGGATTCTTGTTTCTTCATTCTGTTCTGGTTGAATGTTTATTTCTTCTTTCTCGTCCAAATCGTTAATTTCAGCCCTGGTTTCCTTCTCTTCACTGTTGGTTTCCTGTATATTTTTCTTTATTTCTCTTTGTACAGTCTTCATGTCTTCCTTCATTTTGCATCCATACTCAATCATTTCTGTGAGCATCCTGATCACCGGTGTTTTCAACTCTGCATCTGATAGGTTGTCTATCTCCTCATCGTTTAGTTCTTTTTCTGGAGTTTTGATCTGTTCCTTCATTTGGGCCATATTTCTTTGTCTGGGTGTACCTGGTACATTGTAAGAGGGGGAGCCTTAGGTATTGGCCAGAGTGGGGCAATCTACTTTGCTGTGTTGTGGTGCTGTACGTGGAGGAGGGGTCAGAGAGGAAATGCTGCTTGCTTGGCTCTTGCCTGGCTTTCAGTCACTTCCCCTGCTACCCACAAGTGAGCTGGTCCCTTCTGGTGCTGATTTCCCAGTGGGTGGGTTTGTGTACGTTATAGGACCCCGTGAATCCCTCCCATGGGCACCCCTGTGACACTGGCAGTTTCTCTCACCGCTGTAACCTCCACAGATTTTTCTAGCCAGAGGTTTCAAGGCTTTATTTCCCCAGACTGAAACCCTGTGTTGTGCAGCCTGTCACATTCCCCAGTTCCTCCCAGTTTATCCACATGCGAATGTGGAATCCCCCGCCTGCCAGCCGTGAATGTGACTTTTGTTTAATTCTTGGTTGTAGGACTTCCACAAAGTTCGATTTTCTGAAGATTCTGGGTGATAACTGTTTTGTAGTCGACTTGTAATTTTTGCTGTGGTTGTGCAAGTAGGTTTGCCATGTTCTCCTATGCCTCCATCTTCATCAGAAGTCTCCTGTTTTTTAATCTTACTATTTCTAAAATGTTCCGGGTTAATAGCGTTCCAAATATCCCAGTAAATATATACTCAATAAATTAAGCCTACTGCAAACAGGAAATACCCAAATGACCATTGATAGAACTGATAAACAATGGAATACTACTTGGCAATAATTAAAAAAACCTACTGATACAGGCAACCACCTGGATGAAATCTTAAAAGAATTATGCCGAATGAAATAAGCCAAGAAAAACTAGTACATACTATTGATTACATTTATACAAAACTCCATACTATTGATTACATTTATACAAAACTCCAGAAAATGCAAACTAATCTATATGACAGAAAGCAGATCACTGGTTGGTTGCAAACTGGCGAGGAGGGAGGCAAGAAGTAGGATTATAAAAGGGTATGAGGAAACTTTAGAAAGTGATGGATAGGCTCATTATTTTGATCATGGTGATGGTTTCAAGAGTAAGTATGCATATATGCATGTGTCAAAATTTATCAAATTGTACCTTTTAAGTATGTGCACTTATTGTATATTGGTTACACCTTAATAAAGCTGTTAGAAAAAAATATGGCAAATGAACAAAATCTAATATGATCAAAAGGAAGTTGTTCATATCCCCCAAATCTGCATCTTTTGCTACTCCCTCATTTAATGATGTCATTATTTATCTGATGTACTTAACCTGAAAAATCAGAATCCGAAAATGTGCCTTCAAATTGACACTGAACATATCTCAAACTCTGTGACATTCACTGTCCTGTCCATCAGGCCACCATGCCTACCTGACTCTAAACATATATGAGGGCAGGGATTCAGGGATATAGAACCAGGCCAGAAAAACAGTAGTCCGTTACGTGAATACACCGCCATCATCTGCTCTAGAAATCTGTCTTCCATTTTATAAAGGCAGAGGCCCCATATTCATTCTTCACCCCCAAGGTCCTAATCTGTTAACTATTCATTAAATTAAAAAATGTATAATACTACACTATAGTTTCATACCTTATCCTGAAACAGAGCTTAAACTTTGACTTACAAGGGTATGCTAAAGTATTATTATAACTAGAAAGGTCAATATTTTAAAACACCAAAAATTCCCAGATATATTGGTTAATTCTAACAAAATCAGATAGTTTTTAAAAATAGGGACTTGATATTTCCTCAAATGTAAGACTAGGCATTCAGATTCATGTAATGTCAATTCATACTATAGTCCTTAACAATCACCTATAATATGTTTTCAGCACTAAATAGAACAGGGAGAAATCCAGCTATCTTACCCAGTCAGCGTTTTTCAGCTCTTCCAGGTCTGTGTTAGATTCATCGCTCTTTTCCATTTCTTGAATCTTCTTAAGATTCTACCAGTTGAAATAAAAATATTTGGCATCAAAATTTAATTAAGCTACCTCCTCGAATTAAAATTTCTAATGGATACCTTCAGATAAAATATAAACAAAAGTGTTATTGAAGCAGGTAGTACAGATAGCAGGTTTAACACAATCACTAATTCTTCAGGGAAACCTTCCCTTCCTCCTTGACTAAGCCAAATCTTCCTGCTATACTATTTTTTGGCATCATAAACCTTTCTTCTACAGTTTTTATCAACACTAATTCTATATTTGTTTGTGCCTTCCCACTACACTTTATGACTCAGATTTCTGTTCTCAAAAGTTAATATAAGCACAAGAACTTTTCTGATGCTCAATATATATTTGTCAAGTAATTTATGAATACATTTCAATATATAAAATGTCTTTTATTTATTTTTAATTTAATACATATATATAGAAAAATAGTTATCACAATAAGGTTAGTTGCACTTCCATTACCTCACATAATTATCTTTTTTTAAATGGCGAGAATATTTAAGACCTATTCTCTTCACAACTTTCAAGTATAAGACACAATGTTGTTAACTATAGTCATTCTGCAGTACATTAGATCCCCAGAACTTACTTATAACTGGAATCTTGTACCTTTTGAAATTGCATTAATTCAACATTTGCAATTTTTAAAAAATGATGATAGGTAAAACATATATTCACATATTAATTACAAATTTGTGTTATCATTCCTATTCACAATAATTCAACTCTAATACATTTTGCTAAACGTATTTTCCTAATTGCATTTAGCCTGAGTTTAAATGCTTGTATGAAACCTAACTTGTTTTATATGAAAATAATGAATACTTACTATGAAACATTTCTAAACCATTTATTTTTAGCTTCTCAACATCTCAGATTAACCATCTGCAAAATAAGAATAAAACTGCCTGCTTTTTTGTACTTAATAATGCATTGGAGTATTAACAGAGAAAGGATAAAACTACTCTGACTTGAAGAAAAGGTGGTATAAATAATGCATTATTTCCTTTCTCCTTTGGAAAGAAATTAGGAGGAAAAAAGTATATTTGTTTCAGAATGCGTTTCCATAATTACTATATTAATTTTTTTAAAACCCTCACTCAGGGATACATTTATTGATTTTAGAGACAGAGGAAGGGAGATAAGGGACAGGGGATAGGGGAGGGGAGAGGCAGAGAGGATGAAGGGGAGAAGAGGTGGAGAGAAACATCGACTGGTTGCTTTCAGAATGCGCCTGGACTGGGGATTAAACCTGCAACGTAGGTATATTCCCTGACCAGGAATCAAACCCATAACCTTCTGGTGTGGGGGACGATGGTCCAACAAACTAAGTCCCCTGGCCAGGGTCATAATTATTTTTAAAAGAGAAAAGTCAGGTTTCCTGCTTGGGACAATGTAATAAGACACTTGCCACTCCTTAGTCACAGCCTACATTCCCTCTTTGGACCTCCTCTGCCTCACTTTTAAAGGAAGATACCACCATCTGCCTCACAATGTTGTATTTAAAATACAATCATACATAGCAGAACCTTGCAGGTATAGCCTCTAGGGAAAAGGAACTCCCAAAACATGCATATCCTCATTATCCTCTGTACTCTCCCAGCCTCATTCCCTATTCGCCTTCCAGAGCGTTGCTCTTTTCCAGTGGTCTTGACTGCTGCTCTTGGCTGCAGTAGGATGCTAAGGGCAGCTAACAAGTGGTAAGCCTTCAGAAAGTCATCATTTAACTCCAACCATAGCCCATGTTCCTGGGGAAATTAAAGCACGTAAATGCTAACTGACATGTCTGAGGTCTCCTCAAAGGCGAATTATGGAGTGAAGTAAAGCAGATGGAAGTTGTACAATGGTCTCAGACATGAGGTAAGACATGGGGAAGGGACACCAGTATATGAGAATGGTCCTGTTGAGAACATAAGTGTCCTGATGCTGCCCTCAGTGACTTAGATAATTCTTAGACGGCAGCTAAGTAAAGTTTACTTTACTTTGGCTAAAATAAATGTGTATGAATTAATAAATTACACATGGGAAAATAGAATTTATGTCTTATAAGTGATTTGCAGATAATGGGTACTTAATATCTGGTGTCGTATTATGTCAAAATCTCAGTAATAATCATTATTACATTATTACTAAATTAGGACTCTCAGTGTTCTATTTTGAAAGATGTACCAGATGTACTGGTATATATAATATTTCTGATATTCAAAAACCCCTAATTTTTTGCTAGGGATTATTAGTTATTATTTAATAAATCTCTGATGATTTAAAACCACAGTTTTCAACCCAAGTCCACAATCTTAAAGAATTATCAAAATAAGAATTGAGCAGGAGGAGACCAAAAAGGAGAGGCACACATTTATTGTGTTCCTAGATGACTGTAACCCAGGCTCCATCTCCCAAAGAACTGAAGAAGACATTACTCTATTGACCAGAAGAGCCTTATTTCCGTCTTTTTTTTTTTTAAATAATTAAAATGGTAAAAGAAAAGAGATGTAGGAAGTGAACTGCCTGTGGGCACCCTGAGACTCTATGTAAGGCTGTGACATCTATCAGCAGTAGCACTTTCCCCTCCCCCATAAAAAAAAATGAGAGCTGAGAAAAAATACCTCAGCTCTATTTCCTCACATTCTCGTTTTCGGGCATTTGCACTGGCTATTCTCTCTCCCTACAATGCTTTATCCAAATATCCACATAGCTAATTCCCACACATCCTTCTCATTCTTACTCAAATGTCACCTTCTCAATGTGGCCTACCTTGACTATCCAATATAAGGGCCAAGCCCATGCCTTGAACTTTTCCCAGACAGACTTCATAGAAAGCAGATTATTTTAGCTATAGAAGAAAGTGATCATATCATGGTGCTTTTTAACACAGAGTGACTTTCACTTCATCTTTGTACACCAAAGTTCAGAAATCAACTATTTTCCCAAACACCCTGCTTTTTATTGCTGTGTGCATGTTTTTCTACCCAGCTGTTCCACAAGTTCTCTTATCATACTTTCTGTTATAAGCATTTACAAATCCCAAACTCTGTAATCCTGGGATGATTCATAATGACTGATAACTGTAATAGAAATCCCAGGGAAACCATTTTTCCCCCTTGAATTTTCACACAGCTCTTTTTTATATCTGTGTAAGATACAGCGGTTGAACATGACTCTTAACTCATTACTACAACTCAGCCTCAGCATAAGGATCCCACATCATGAGAATACTCGTTAGATTTCACTAGTTGCTAATGGAAATTGTCACAAGAGAGCATTAGAGAAGGGGCAGCTCAGTAAGTTGGACACCAGACCTTTCACACAATTCTTTTTCTCTCCATCTCCACTTTTGCACCCACCCCCTTTAATATGTTGTGTATTTATTATTTTCTTTGCACAAAATGTTCTGCCACTTAAAATCACTGCTCTGAAAGATGAAGTTAATGCCTTAGAAGCTGTGTCCTAACTTAAAACTACTACATTTAAATTAGAATTTTCCACAGAAAATACTGTAGATCAATGAAGAGAAATCCAAAGGAATTAACTTATCAAATAAAATGCATTCAAAACAAGTCAAGTTAAAGGGTAGTATTTAGTAGGTCAAAACTCTTGATCTCTTATTTCTGAGAAGAAAATATGACCGGGGAGACTCCACTTATACTCAAAGTGTCAAAATCAAAATGCTTTGCATGAACAGAAGATCATGTAAGTGTAAAATTGTTATAATAAGAAAACTGTAAAGTAAAACTATGAGATAAAAATCTGCACTAATTACTTAAAAAGATTCATTGTGAGAGGCAGGAGAGCACTCTTACACATTTCTAAGGAGAGTATCAATTAGTAAACTTTGGAGGAGAATTTCAATTTCATAATATTTTATGAAAATTATAAATGCACATTTCATTTGACACAGAAATTTTACTTTTAGGAATTTGTCTTACATACATGATCTCACCAATGATAAATAGATTAGAAACTATCCATGGCAGCATTTTTTGTAATAGCAAAAGACTTGGAAATGACTTAACAGTTGTTAACAGAAGGCTGACTAAATCAATGATAGTATGTCCACGTAACAAAATATTATGTTTTCATCAAAACATCAAAAAATGATTTCTAACACATACGAAGGTTTTGCACAGCATAAAAGATATGAAAAATATTGATATGTTTTTGTTAGTTATATATCAATTACATCTATTAAAGACAGAGAAGAAATTAACATTATTTGTTGCCTGTGGGGTAGGAAGTGTGTGGCAAGGAGACAGAAATAGAAGGTGTTCCTGGAGTATGAACCATGTAAATTTTTTACTTGTTAAAATAAGTCAATTAAATTAGGGGCTTCCAAAGATGGTGGCACAGGTAAATGAGGTACTCTCTCCTCCCACAACCATATCAAAATTACAACTAAACTACAGAACAACCATCATGCAGACCCTCCTGAAACTTGGCTGAACAGAAGTCCTATAACTAAGAATATAAAGAAGCTACATTGAGACTGGTGGTGGGGGGTGGAGACATGGAATGCGCTGGTCCCACACCCACGCGTGGTGGTTAAAAATGGGAAGGGATCTCAAGGCTGCAGAGGTGCCCTCAGGGGAGAAAATACTCCCAATCCCGTACAAGGCACTGCAACCCAGAGTGCCAGGGCAGAAACAGAGGTCCCCATACCATAGCTTTTGGTTGTGAAAACCAGCAGAGATTGTGGCTTATGTGGGAGGAAGGGCTTCTGGAATCCCAGGCACTCCTTTTAAAGGGCCTGTGCACAAACTTACTCAGACTCACTCATTCTAAACGCCAGAAATAGGGAAGTAGCTCAAAAGCCACCAGAGACCTAATGGAAATAACTGAATTATCTGGTTTTGGGGCAAGTGCTAGAGGAGCAGCTTTCTCTCAGATGGAAGGCCTGAGTCCTCCCCTCAGAGAGCCAGCAGGCAGGCCCTATATCTGAGTCTCCATCAACCTTGCTAACATGTTCACCCCATCCTGGTGATTTCTGAGACCCC